GTTTGTAATGTGTCCTCTTTCAATCCTGGTATTGATTGATTGACTTTCCTTTTGTTGTTATTTAATAACTCTTCCTAGGGGTTTAGCACTTTTTGTGTAAGAGATTTGACTCTTTTTTTATTGTGATAACATATATTTACCCTCTTAACAAATGTGTACAGTACAGTACTGTTCATTGTATCCACACTGCTGTACAGAAGATCTCTAGAACATTTTCATCTTGCACGAGTGAAACTTACCCATTGAACAACTGCTTGTGTCCGCTTCCCTCCAGCTCTTGGTAACCAACTGCCAGCTATTCTCCATTCTGTTTAGATACCTCACATAAGTGGAATAATGCAACATTTGTCTCTGTGACTGACATTTTTCACTTTGCATAGTGTCCTCAGGGTTCATCCATGTTATAGGAAAAGGCAGGATTTCCTTCCTTTCTAAGACTGAATGAATAATATCCCACTTTATGTTCTTGCCACTTTTTCTTTACCCTTCATCTATGGATGGACATTTAAGTTGCTTCCACACCTTGGCTAACATGGCTGTGTAAATACAGTATCTTTTCAAGATCCTGTTTTCAGTTTTTTGGGGTATATATCCAGAAGTGGGTTTGATGGATCATACTTTTATTGTTAATTTTTTTAGCAACTTTCCTACTATTTTCAATAGTGGCTGCACCACTTTATAATCTTAGCAGCGGTGGATTGGGTCTTTCTCCACACCCTTTCCAAAACTTATTTTCTGTGTTTTGTTTCGTTTTTTAAATAATGGCCATTCTAACAGGTAAAGATAGTATCTCATTGTGATTTTGATTTGTGTTTTCCCGCTCATTTGTGATGTTTAGCATCTTTTCATGTGTTATTGACAATTTGTATCTCTTGTTTTGGAGAAATGTTAATTCAAGTCCTTTGCCCACTTTTCAGTCAGGTTATTTATTTTTAGGTGAGGAGTTGTAGTTCTTTTAATATTCTGGGTGTTAACCCCTTATCTGGTATATGGTTTGCATCTATTTTGTCCCATTCTGTACGTTGCCTTTACACTGTGTTGTTTCCTTTACTGCGCAGTTTTTAAGTTTAGTCTCATTTCTCTACTTTTGCTTTTGTTGCTGGTGCCTTCAGTGTTATTGACAATTCCATTGTTATGAAGCGTTTTCCCTGTTTCCTTTTTATAGTTTTAGGCCTGGGGCTTAGCAATTCTAATATTTGCAAATTATCAATCTTAATTATCTTTATAGTTTTATTTATATTTCATTGATTTTTCCTGTTTATTGCTTATTATCTTGTTATTTAACTTTTGTTATCTTCATTTCCTAACTTGGGTGGGAGCTGATTTTTTTTAATTAAAATTGTTCTCCTTTTCTGGTGCATTCATTTAAAGATACAACTTTCCCTTTAAGAACTGCTTCAGCTGTATTAGTTTGCTAAAACTGCCGTGACAAAGCACCACAGACCAGGTGGCTTAAATAGCAGAAATGGATTTTTTCACAATTCCAGAGGCTGGAAGTTAAAGATCAGGTGTTGACAATGCTGGTTTCTTCTGAGGCCTTTCTCGGGCTTGTAGATGGCCTTCTCCCTGTTTCCATCCTCTGCTCTGGAAACCTCTGTTCAAATCCTTCTTATAAGGGTAACAGCATATTGGACTAAGCCCACCTTAATAATATCATTTTAACCTATTACCTCTTTAAACGGCCAATCGCCAGATACAGTCACATTCTATAGTACAGGGGGACGAGGGCTTTGACATGTGAATTTGATAGGGGACACGTGGTACAGCCCATAACAACGCCATGTCACAAATGTGGTTAGTTGTGATATGTTTTCTGTGTTGTGTTTATTAGAATCATTCCATTCATAGCATTTCTTCATGTCCCTTGGGATATTTGCTTTCATCTATATCTCCTTTAGACCAATGCAGCTTAATTTCTAATTATGGAGGCCTTTCTAGATGTCTTAGTGTTATTGGTTTCTTCTTTAATTCCATCTTGGGCAAAGAACATACTCTCTAAACTTCAGTCCTTTGAAATTGGTAACTTGTTTTATATGCCTTAGAATTTCATTTATCTTGGTGAAGAGTCTGTGTGTACTTCTGCACTCGGGTTTGTGTTCTCTGTAAGTTTAAATTAGATCAATACTGCCTGGTAGTTTTTTCAAATCTTCTGTTTCCTTCCTATTTTATATCAGTTTGCTTTTTCATTTGCTGAAAGATGTAGTGAGTTTTCTTAATTCTGATTATGATTTTTTTTTTCTCTCTTTCACTCTGTCATTTTTTTCTTCAGGTATTTTCTCCCAATCTATGACTTGACTTTTTATTTTCTTACCAGTATTTTATAGAGCAGAAGGTTTTAATCTTAACAGAATCCAATTTACCAATTTTTTCTTTCACGGATTGTGCTGTTGGTGTTATATGTGAGAAGATATTGCCACACCCAAGGTCACCTAGATTTTCTCCTAGGAGTTTTATAGTTTCACATTTTCCCTTTAGGTCTATGACCCATTTAGAGTTAATTTTTGTGAAAGGTGTAAGACCTGTGTCTAGATTCTTATTTATTTGGCATGTGGAGGTTCAGTTGTTCCAGTACTACCATTTATGGAAAATACAGTCTTCTCTCCAGTGAATATCCTTTGCGCTTTTCTCAAAGATTGGTTGACACTATCTATGTGGGTCTATTCTACGCTTTTCATTCTGTTCCATTGATTCATTTTTTAAAAAAACTTAGTTACATTCAATATTATTTTGTATTAGTTATAGGTGTACAATATAATAGTTAGACAATATACTTTACAAAGTGGTCCCCTCAATATTTCCAGTACCCACCTGGCACTATACACAGTTATTACAATATGCTGTACTTACATCCCCATGACTATTTCTTAACTACAAATCTGAGTTTTTTCAAATTTATCTTTTTGCCATAGCTTTATACTGTTGTAACATCCAGTTGTGTCAGTCTTCTGAGTTTGTAATTCTTCAGTATTGTGTTGATCTTTCCACATAATCTTTCGAACCAGTTTGTTGCTATACTCAAGGTAAGTTGCTGGGATTTTGATGAAGTTTGCACTGAATATGGATAGATCAAGTTGAGAAGAACTGACACCTTCATATGGAGCCTCCCTATCCATAATGTGGACTATCTCTCCATTTATTTAGATCTTCTTTGGTTTCTTTCAGCAGAGTTCTGTAATTTTCCTCATATAGATCTTATACAATTTTTTAAAAATACTTATACCTAAGAATTTCACTTTACTGTGAGCTAATATAAATGTTGTGGTGGTTTTAACTTCAAATTCCATTTGTTCATGGTTGGTATATAGGAAAGCAGTTGATTTTTGTATATTAACCTTGTATCCTCAATCTTGATATAATAACTTATTAGTTCCAGAAATTCCTTGTTGATTCCTTGGGGTTTTCTACATAGACAGTTAGGTCATCCGCAGACAAAGACAGTTTTATCTCTTCTTCCCCAATATATATTTCTTTTATTTCCTTTTCTTGTCTTCTTACATTAGCTAGGAATTCCAGTATGATACTGAATAGGAGTGCTGATAGGGGACATCCTTGCCTTGTTTCTGATCTTAGCAGGACAGCGTGGAGTTTCTCATCATTAAATATGATGTTAGCTTTAGACTTTGCACTCTTTATTTAAGCATAGCCACAGTTATTTGCAGAGGGTATGAGTACAGCCCAATCTTACCCTAAGCTGAATAAAATTAATATTATTTAATGCCATCTAATATCTATTCAGTGTTCACATTTCCATGATTACCTCAAAAATGTCTAACCAGAGGTCCACATGTTGCATGTGATTGATATGTCTCCTAAGTCTCCCTTGATTCCATAAGAGTGCTTGCATGCCTTAGCTCACACTCCCCTTCTCTCCCTTACCACCTTTCTCCGTTAACTTGTTGAAGGCCTTACATTTTAAGAAAATTACAAATATGTCAAGTCACCCCTCAGAATTTTAGCCACATTTCTTTTTTTAAAAAAAGTTCTTATTGAATTTTTAGAGAGAGAGGAAGGGAAAGGAATAGAGAGACAGAAACATCGATGAGAGAAAAACATCAATCAGCTGCCTCCTGCATACCCCCTCCTGGGGATCCAGCCTGAATCCCAGGCATGTACTCTTTCCTGGAATCGAACCTGTGACCTCTTGGTTCATAGGTCAGTGCTCAACCATGTAGCCACACCGGCAAGGCTCCACTACATTTGACTCATTTTTCTCTGTACTAGAATATCATGATCACACTGAACAATATTCACAATAATTCTCTAACATCATTTAATACCCAGTTCATATTGAACTGTCATTCAGAGTCCGTAAAATGTTCATTTGTGCAAACAAGGCCTATAGATGACATCTGAAGAATGGTTTCTCTCTTAAGTTACTTTGCATTAAGAAAAATCTCCCTTCTTAAAAATTTCTTTATGAAATTCATTTGTTGAAGATCTGGGCCATTTGCTGACTGCCCATTCTTAAATTTCAAGACATATTTCAATTCTTGGGAACCTAGTCTTGGATATATAAGTGGAGGGGAAGTTGAAATAAGGTNATATAAGTGGAGGGGACATTGAAATAAGGCTATAGCTTCCACCCTGCTTCAAGTTTCCCCCAAATCTACATTCTGTGGAGCCTGTGGTGTTCTCTCTGTTTTGACGATCCTGGGCCTTGTCCTTTGGCCTCAGGGCAGATGTGGCTGGGGAACTTCTGTTTTCAGTATGTTAGGTCACTTTATTTCTCAATGTGAATGCTCACCTGAGGCCCTTTCCACTTAAGTCCACACAGTGACAAAGTCTCACCAGCTGCTGGGGACTTCATTTTCCAACCAGTCATTGGGGCTGAGCCCCCTGCTGGCCCAGCTCTGGGGGCCGTAGTTACAGGACGCTGGTTAAGGATGAGCTACTGCGATGCCCTACAACCTGCCTTCCGTACTGCGCCTCACTCCTGCTGAACCGGGATGCTAGCTGGAGGGGTGATCCTCCTAAGCACCCCCCACTTTTCTCTTCCCCAGCTCTGCCTGTGCACGTGACTCGACTCTTGGACGAGCACAAGGAATATGGCTCCAGGGCTCCTGACAACCAGGGATGAGGTGAGTCCTGAAATTCCTTTCTAGCTCTTGCAGGATGCGCCCATTGCATTGTCTTGTCCTAACACCTTGCTGGTATTAGGCCGTACCTAGCCTGACCTTGGAGGTGGGGCCCATCTTACCTGGAGCCTTCTCTTGGACTCCTCTGCTTCATTCACAACTCAGGCATTCACCAAGTGGGAAACTCTGATTGAAGTTAAGTTAAAAATAGTGGGTATTCGTGCTTATGCACCCAGCAATATCCGGGCCCAAATAAAGTGGAGGAAAGCTTTTGAGGGAGGAACTGACTGTGCCCCCTGAGCAACCCCCTAATGACCTCGGCAAAGTGAAGAGCTGAGGGAAGGCATTTCTGTTGAAATGGGGCAGGAACCATAGTGTGTCTCAGAGTCTGGGTGACTGACAGTCTGTCCCTCACCATATGGGAAGCTTGGAGCTGCCAGTGGCCTTTGGTCACAGCAGTTTTCTCTGTGTAGAGGTTAGGGTGCTGAACTGCTGTTGCTTGTTACTCACGGATAGATTTAGTTTGGTTGGGTCCATGCTTTATATTTATATTGGAAGATTACATCTAAAGGTCTGGATTGCCAGCTTCTCTGAGAACAGAGTATTTCCCCCTGTCCTACATCTACACTCCTGGTAGGTGACTAGTGGCTGGAGCCAAACTGTCTCCACAGTGTAGTCACACTGCTTTCACCCCAAGGCTGAGGCGCCTGCTACACTCACTCTTTATTTGCCTGGCCCCTGAAGGTTTTGCCTTCACCCCCTCTGAGCCTGGATGGAGATNGCCTTCACCCCCTCTGAGCCTGGATCAGGTAGGAAATAAATAGTAACTGAATGAATATATGTCCTAATAGAAAGATTTTCTAATCTAAGACGGCAGCATGGGAACTTGTCATAACGAAATGCAGTTAATATTTACTGACCATCCAAATAGATGCTGCTGGGGCACTTCCGTGCTGGTTGGGTCCATGATACAACATAGTGTCAACTGTGCTAATTCAGATTTGTATTCCCTGTTCTATAAATATGTCCAAGGTAGATTTTTTTTTGAAAGATGTGAACTTGATGTTAATACTGGGCTCATATGTTAGCTATTTGCCTGTTACTGTGTAAGTTAAAAATGTCTATAGTTTTGATGTTGTCAACATCATTGAGAGCTGTGTGTCCCTCAGCTGTCAAACATTTTATACTTGAGCAGAAATGTGTATATTGTACATATAATTCAGAATGCTCCCTATCATAACAGGGAAACTTTTCTTTTGTATGTTTCATTTTCCCATTTCTGGTGTTAATAAAGAAGCATTTTTGGCCAGAATGGAATGCTCTACCAGCTTACTTTTCCCATCCCTACTCTGCCACTTCCTGTGGGACCCTTAGCATATCCTGAACTGAATCCTGTCTGACCAACATCTCTCAATAAACAAGTTTTCCTTTGATTCGCTTCCTTGTGAAAGATTGATGCCAGGTATGAGCATCTGAGTGGGTTAGTTTTTTAAGGTGAAGTTTCCATACCTGTAAGTGTGTCAGGCACTCAACATACTTGTTTCATAAAGAGACCACTAATTTTGAAAGAATGAAGGAACAAAGGGGTTTGTTTTGCTGTTTGTTATTTGAGGCACACAAGTTACATATGTTAGGACTCTTTAAACTGCATTTCCAGGTACTTTGTATGTGTTGGATCTGAATTATATAGAATATTCTGACCTACACATACAACATGACACTTGGCCAATTCCGCTCAGGGCTTTTTCCTGAAAGGAGAAATTGTAATATTGTATTTCCACCAACAGTCCCTTCAGGTATTTCTAACATGCACTTCAAAACTCTCCCAGACTCTACCCATTACACAGTTCCAAAGCCACTTCCATACTTTTAAGTGTTGGTTACTGTAGCGCCCCACTCTCAGAACCAAAATCTAATCTGAATTAGTTTGCTGGGGCTGCCACAACAAAATACCTAACTTGTGGCTTAAACAACAGAAATTAATTTCTCATAGTTCTCGAGCCTGGGACGTGTAGGATCAAGATGCCAGCTGACTTGATTCCTGGTGAGGGCTCTCTTCCTGGCTTGCAGATGCCTATTTTCTTGTTATGTGCTCACATGGCAGAGACAGAGAGCGTACGAGAGCTCTGGTGTCTTCCTTTTCTTATAAGGCTCCAGCCTATAATATCAGGGCCCCAGCACCTTTATGACCTCATTTAACCTTACTTCCTTAGAGGCCATATTGTTATTGGAGTAATTGGGTGTACTGTTCCCCACTGGGTGCTTGGAGTAGAGTTCTTACGATATCTCGAGAAAATTGATTTTCTGAGACTAGCCTGGGAAAATAAGTGATTTTTATTTGTGTTGAATTACAATCCTGGATTTTCAAAGACCCATTTCCCTTAATCCAGTTATAGAAGAAGTGTAGCTGGGGTTTGAGTAGAGCTAGAAGCAGAGTCAGAGTCCAGAGTTTCCTTTCCATGTTGGAGCCAGGTCCAGTTCAGCACCAGGCTAGCAGCAGTCCATTAGTCCATTCTGTTTGGCCAAATACAGAAGAGTGCGCCCCAAGCAATTAGAGTCCCAACAGCATAAGAGTAACCAAGAGAGCGAACTCCTTTGTTTAGCACCCATGCAGTGGCCATGCCCGTTCTAGCCAATGACCTGTTCCCCGGTGTGACTGAGAGGCAAGTACCTTCCCGACATCACTCCATCTTAACTGGGCATGTGTCTATTCTCCCCTTGTCCAGTCCCTTCCCTTAGTGATCTGCAGGGAATAGACCGGTGGCTCCTTCAAAAGTGTAAACCTTTAGCTTCCTGGTGAAGCTGCCCAAATGGCATGCCTATGATGTTTGGCCTTCCCTTTTGCTCCATTCCTCTTATTAATAACTAGGTTATTAAAATGGTATCAATATCTCCAGATATAGACACTTTTGTGGGTTAGGACTTAACATATGAATTTTCAGAGGACACGGTTCAGCCCATACCACCCCATAAATCTTCATGAATGTGGAAAAGCCTTTAGTCGAAATTTACAAGCATCAGAGAGATTCCACAAGCCAAAATTCAAGGGGGTAGAGAGAACCCTATAAATACAGTGAATGTGAAGCTCTGGATTTAAAATCAACATGCAAAAGTCAGTTGTATTTCTGTACATTTCCAGTGAACTATCCTAACAAAAATTTTTTTAATTCCACTTAATAGCATCAAAAAGAATAAAATGCTCAGCAGTGAATTTAACCATTAAAGCAAAAGACTTGCTCACCCGAACTACAAAACATTCCTGCAATCACAGATGACCTAAATAAATGGGAAGACTTCCCATGCTTATGGATTAGAAGACTTAATATTGCTAAGGTGACTGTAGCAGTGAAAGGGATCTACAGATTCATTCCAGTCCCTATCAAAATCTCATGTATGTGTTGTAGGTCTAGAAAAACCTGTCCTAAAATTCATTTGGAATCTCACAGGACCCTGAATATCCAAAACCAGTTTAAATAGAAAAAGAACAACTGGAGGATTCACACTGCCTGATTTCAATAGTTAGTACCAAGCTAAAAACAGTGAGAAAATGGTTGTATTGCCTTAAGGATAAAAATAGAGATCTCAGAATAGAAATGAGAGCTCAGAAAACATAATCCTCACATATGTGATCAATTGGTTTTTGGCAAGGGTGCCAAGTCCATTCAGTTGGAAAAGGACCATCTATACAAGTGGTATTTGGACCACTGGATATCCATAGTTAAAAGAACACACTTAAGATAATGAAACATTAGAAAGCCTCTGCAAAGAAACAGAAGTTATGGTGAATAATTATATGGAAAGTTCAGAACTGAAAAATACTTACCTGAAGGAAAAGCTCAGGAGATGAGCTTATTAGCAGATTCGAGGTAACAGAAATGAATGAACTAAAGGATAGAACAATATAAATTACCCAGTTTGTACAACTGGGAGAAGATATACTGGGGAGAAAATGTACAGTCTTGAGAACTGTGGGAGTGTAACAGAATATCTAACAGTTGTGCCTTTGTAGTTCTGGAGACGTGAAGGACGACAGGGTTGAAAAAGTCTTAGAAGAATCAATGGCTGCAAACCTCCCAAATTTGGCAAGGGATGAAAACCTACAGATCCATAGCTCCAAGTGTATGTCAAACATGATAAACCCACTGAAATCCCTGCTAAGACACATTATAATGAATCTTCTGAAGACTAAAAATGTGGAAAACACCTTGAAAGGAGCCAGAAAAATAGAACACATTTTCCTCATAGGTTAAAATCTATTAGAATGGTAGTGGATTTCTCACCAGATGACCTAGGTTAGATGGAAAGGATGCAAAGTTTTTCAGGGTCTGGAAGACCCTGAAAAATGCTCCTATTTCTACTTCTAATTACAGCAGTTCCTTTAACATTTTCTGCAATGATGGTTTGGTGATGATAAACTCCTTTAGCCTTTTTTTGTCTAGGAAGCTATTTATTTCAACATCTATTTTGAATGATAGCCTTGCTGGATAGAGTAGTCTTGGTTTCAGATCCTTGTTTTGCATTACCTTGAATACTTCATACCATTCCCTTCTAGCCTACAGAGTTTCTCATGAGATGTCATCTGACGGCCTTATGCGAGCTCCTTTGTAGGTAACAGATTGCTTTTCTCTTGCTGCCTTTAAGATTCTCTGTCTTGAACTTTTTGCATTTTAATTGTGATGTGTCTGGGTGTGGGCCTCTTTGGATTATTTTCCTTTGGGACTCTCTGTGCCTTTTGAACTTGTGTGAGTTTTTCCTTGACCAGTTTAGGGAAATTTTCTGCCATTATTTCATCAAATGGGTTCTCTAACTCTTGCTTAATTTCGACCTCCTCTGGCACTCCTATGATGCAAATATTGTAACATTTCATGTTGTCCCACAACTCCCTTAAGCTGTCCTCCTGTTTTTTAATTGTTTTTTTCTTTTTGGATCTCTGATTGATTTTTTCTACCCTGTCTTCTAATTCACTGATCTGATCCTCAGCTTCCTCTAATCTGCTGTTTATT